ACACACTGCCATGGGCCCTGGGGCCTCCCCCAGCCCGACCAACCTGCCCCAGCTTGGAAGGAATCCATTCCCAAAAGCGGCTGCAGCCACTGGGGGCAAGGCTTGGCATCTGTGCCAAGGCAGAAGCTGTGGCTCCTTCCTGGCCTGATTTCTTCATGGAAGTCATGACCTGCAGCACAAAAACATCTTGGCTGGCAAGGCCCAGAAAAATGTGACATTTAATCCTCCTAAATTCAGGAAAGCCTGACTTCCCATTCCTCAGTACAAGGAGCTGAAGGAAATTGCAAACTTCCCAATGTCACTGAATTGGAGAACCTGAGAATGTCAAGTATTTGGAAGTTTGCTTTCCATCTCAAACCTGCAGCTCATTTGCCTTCCTGTGGTCCACTGAGAGTCAACTTCCAAACATGAACAGAGGCAAAAAATCTGGGCATTGATTGGTTTGCAAATGGTTTTCTATTAAGGCATAATAATATGAATATTCAAACCTGAGAAAAATAAAACTTCTCAGAATGATCAAAGCTGAGGCTAAAATGCATTTCAGAAGGAACAGCAATGCCCTCACCCCACATACACCTCTCAGCACCTTCTGTGTCTGCAACTCCCTGACTGGAGGGGGGAACCAGGGTCAAGGTTCAGAAGGAGAGGAAAGAAGGGGCAGAAGGAGAGGAAACAGCCTCACGTTACACCAGGGGATGTTTATGTTGGCTATTAGGGAAAATTTTTCATGGAAAGGGTTTTTCAACCCTGGCACAGGTGCCCAGGGCAGTGGTGGATTCACCACCCCTGCAGGGATTTAAAAGCCGTGTGGATTTTGCACTTGGGGACACGGGTCAGTGGTGGACGTGGCAGTGCTGGGGTACAGGTTGGACTCGATATGATCTTAGAGGGCTTTTCCAACCTTAATGATTCTGTGATTCCATCTTCACAGAGAGTCCTCACAGTTTACCAGCACCTCAGCCATGTATAAACGTAGCTCAGATGTTGCTGGTCCTGTGGTGGTGGTTGGGAATCCCAGAAGAGGATGAGGTGTCATGGCCAAGACTGATGATAGAAGAAGAAACCCCAAAGGGCAGAACTGCCTTGCAAATATTTTTGCCAGTATTTTGTGTTTTGAAGCTCATGCCTTCAGGTATTTTCCTGAAGACAAATTCACCAGTGTTGTCATGAGGATTTATTTAGTCATTTCTGCAGCAAAATACTGCTACAAACCTTGCTTACCTGGCAGGTGAGCTCCTTTCTTGCTGGTGATTCTTATCTCTGAGTTGAGCAAAGCACATGAAATATGCTTTCATCTGATTGGGAAGCAGGTTAGAAGGATAAGAAGAGATAAGAGGGGACTTGTTTGCCAGTGGGATATACAAAGATTACGGGAACGTTGCATCAGTCCTGCACAACAGCAAGGTGCTGATGGAGCCTGAGAGGCAATAATCAGGACTCACCTCAAAATATATGGTGCACCTCGTGTGCATTTTGTTGTGACTGAGCCTCTGGCACTTTTTTTGTGTGTGTATGTTTTGTTTATACACAAAACCCCAAACCAAAACCAACCAACCAGACCAAAAAAAACCCCAACCCAGACCCCCAAAAGTGTTTATGATGTTCTAATGTTATGTGAATTTTTCTGTTATCTCACCTACTCCAGCTCCTATGAGCTGGACAATGAAATTTCATAGAATTCTGTGACTTGGAAGGGACCCACAAGGATCATTGAGTCCAATTCCTGGCCCTGGACAGGACACACCAACAATCCCACCATATGCCTGAGAGGCTTGTCCAAGTGCTCCTTGAGCTCCGTCAGGCTTGGGGCTGTGACCACTGCCCTGGGGAGCCTGTTCAGTGCCTGATTACTCTCTCTGGATGAAGAAATTTGACCTAGTTCTGAAGGCATGCAACCCAGTCTTGCTCTCCTTGGCATTAGAAGTAAATTTAAGCAACCTCTTCTCTCCTTACCCATTTACCGCTCTATTTCAGCCTGTAAGTCCCGTTAATTTTGTTTTTTGCAGATCCCAGTTTTACGAGGGAAAACGTTTGGATTTTATTGCTATCATATGCTGTGAAGTTTTGACTCAATATCTACTCTAAACGAGAAAAGTGCATAAAAAGAAAGTGGCCTTTTCTGATCCGAGGACCTTGCACAACACATGAACATTTTGTAACAGCAGCTGGTCCAAGGGTCCTACTGGGACATGAGATCCTGGCTTTGCTTTTGAGAAGAAATTCTTGCTTGTGAGGGCAGTGAGGCCCTGGCAGAGGTTGACCAGAGAAGTTGTGGCAGCCCTATCCCTGGAAGTGTTCCAGGCCAGGCTGGACAGGGCTTGGGGCAACCTGGTCTAGTGGAAGGTGTCTCTGCCCGTGGAATGAAATAGTATTTAAGGTCCCTTCTAAATGAGCCTTATTTTATGCACAGAGCAGCCCCATGAGCATCTGTAAGTCCTGCTGACACACTGAATCACATTGGAAAAAAAACCTTGGTCCTGTTTCAAAACCAGCCAAACTCCCATCATCTTCCCTGGGGCCAGGATGTTACCCTGGGACTCTCTGTACCACAAGCTGTTCTGTGCAGATGGACTCTGATCCTCTTCAAAGCTTCACTGGATTTCCTGGGGCTGCAGATGGCTCGGGGATCTCCTGCATGGAGCAGGGCTGGAGCAAGTGCTCAGAGGAAAGAAACAACAGAGCCACCAGCTTGGAGGGACTGCCGCGTGCTGGACCAGCTTTGCAGATCCTACAGCCTTCTGGAGCTTTCCTACTGGGGTGGTGGGCCAGAAGGTGTCAACCAGGAGTCAGAGGAAGACAGCAGCAAAGTTCAAACCTGAGTGTGCTGCTAAACACTGCTTAAAATTCCCTGCAGGTTTCAAGGACAAAGAGCGATGTTAAACACCTCCGCTCCCTTGGAATCCACCTTTTCCTAATGTCACTGTTTTCCAAACGATGGAAAACCAAGTATCCTCTCTAATGTGTGGTGAGAAGGTCAAACCCACTGCAATTTGGGAATATGATGCTTTCAACCAGGGCTTTCCCGAGGAAAACATTTCCCATAAATTTTTGACATTTCCAATCCTGGAAAAGTACTGCTTGGGCCACGAACAGTGGTAATCAGAAGGGGAAGAAAATAGGGAGATGTCTCATATGACCACGAGATGGCAGCTGGAGCCCGGGAAGTTCTTTGTGGACACAGTAGCTCCCATGGAAAACCGAGTCATTTGCCAACCCAGTCTGCATTTGGGAATATGCACCTGCACCGTGTTGGCTTTGAACATTTCGCGTGCGTGCTCTGAGTGGGAGAGCTCTGGAATATCTGATTACCCCTTTCATTTCCCAGCTCCTCTGGGCCTTCCTCGATTAGTCAGTATCAAATAAATGGTTTTAACCAATGTAATCCCTGTTGATAGGAAAACAGCAGTGCACCTGGTTTAACACAGCTGTTAGGATCCAGGCTGCTCCGACACCTAATTCAGCAGTGATCTGGAGCCAGATGCTCTGCCCTCCTCATGCCATGACTGCTCCTGTCTGCAATTTCTTCTCGAGCTGGACTTTAAAAGGCTAATTGTGCATGTTGTTAATCAATGATTGTGTTTCATTCCAGAGGAGACCACATTTCAGCAGCACTTTAAGCAAGCCCTTGGATGCCCTTCATCTTTGCAATGCAATTGGATGGGCTCTGCAAAGCTCTGGCCTGTGGAGGTGCCCCCTCCAAGGTTTGGGAGAGGAGTCACAAGCAGTTAAACAGCTCTCGATGCAGGCAGGGTGAGGCCTGAGGCTTCTCAGCCTTGTTAAGATCCTCACAGGGACCAGAGAAATGTGAACTGGAAAGCAGCACTTTAGGGCAGAAATTAATTATCCTGGTACAATGAAGGAATGTTCATTTACATAGATGGATTTTCAGACCGTGGAAGAAGCACATGCAGTGGTCAAGGTAGTAATTTGGAAATCCTGCTGGGAAGCCATTTGGTTTGGAGCCAGCCTACATGAGAACTGTCAGTGCATTTGGCTGCTTTCCCCAGAAGTGACAGCGTGGTACGTTCCATCCCCACCTTTCCCAGCTGCTCTGCATATGCCAACACTGCACGGGAATCCTGCCCTTTGCATCGTGGAAAATATTCTATAATTTCCATATTTCTGCCTGTGGAGATCTTCACATGATGTTCAGCCATCACCGCCCATCTTCACTCTGTTCCACCTCTGTAATTCCCTATTGAACCATTGTTTTCCCAGTTGGGGAGTTGATAATCACGACACAAACTGCTGCAGCGCCGAGCAATTTTCTCAGCTGAGCCAGGTAACAGCACCTGCCCCTTCAGAACCGCTTTAAAGAACAAAAGAAATTGGTGTTCAGTTTATAATTCATCTTAATGTGGCACTCTGAGGTGCTGGTTGGCACAACTGAAGCCAGAGGAAGATGGCATGATTCCCCCAAGCTAGGACAGACCCACCCTCCTAAAGCCTGATTTCCTTCAAGATGACCACGTTGCCCACGATATCTCATGCCAGAAGAAAACATACCTGCTCCTCTCCTACCTTGCTTTTACCGCCATGAGGAGACAGTTGCTAGGAGCTGTCACGCTTCTTGCAGCAGCAGGAGGGGATTTCTTGGCAATTGGGAAGTGATAGGAAACAGTCACTGTGGGAATGCTGAGCAGAACAAGGAGAAAATTGTTATCAGCCCTGGAAAAAGGTGAAGCAACATCACAGTGATTTCTGTGCTTCTTGAACAGTTTGGTTTGTGGGAAGGGAACTGCCACCACTCTGGGTGAATTTGTTTCCTCTCTCCAAAGAGCGTAAGCTGATTTTATAGGACAGGGGAACACAGCCGGTTCAGAGCTGTTGGCTTCTCTTTTCCCTGACCTATCGTGAGTTATTTACAAAGGTTTAGACCGAGTTAAAGCAAAGATGAATTTCAGAGCCTGTGGGTTAATATCTTGCAGCTGCTTTTCTGAGGCCTGATCCAAGGACCAACAATGTTACCAGGCACCTTCCCTCTGACATCAGGGGGCATTAGGATGGGATTTATGCATTTGGCAGAGGTTTTCTAATAATTTATTTAAACAGTGGAGAGAGCAGCATTGATTCAAGTCAGGCTGAAGGTTCAAGATTAGCACGGGAGTGCCAAGTTTTGTGGGTTTGCATGTGTTTGGAAATGGGGTACTAACCTCGTGAGTGATAGAGATGTCATGAGGGGGGGACAATTCCCACCCTATTCTCCCCTCATCTCCAAAGCCGTTGCATCCTGATGACACCCTCTTGCCATTCCCAGGGTTCTGTGGGTTCTCAGGAGCCAGGTCATAGAATCATAGAATGGTAGAATGGTTTGGGTTAGAAGAGACCTTAAAGATCATCTCATTCTATCCCCCTGCCATGGGCAGGGACACCTTCCACTTGAATAGGTTGCTCCAAGCCCTGTCCAACCTGGCCTTGAACACTTTCAGGGATGGGGCAGCCACAGCTTCTCTGGGCACCCTGTGCCAGGGCCTCACCACCCTCACAGGGAAGGATTTTTTTGTAATTGGGTCATGCACTGATGGATTCACACTGCTCCTGTCCCACTGCTTTTTGAGCATTATCTACAACCAGGAAGCCAAGTGTCCATGGATGCAGTCAAACATCAGCTCCTGGAGATGATTCACCTGTGCAATGTGATGCACTGGGTCCGTGTGTCTCGATATGAAGCTGGTTCTGCAGCCAGGAGCTGGGATACCAATTGATGTCTCAGGCAGTATAATGAGGGAATTGAAAAAACAGGAAAGCGACCTTACAAATCACATCAGGGATCATGAATTCCAAAGCCTGAAAGCCAGGAGGTGGGTAAGGAATCACAGAATCATTTAAGTTGAAAAATACTTCTAAGATCATGGAGTTCAACCTCTTCCCCAGCACTGCCAAGGCCACCGCTGTCCCATCTCCCTAAGTGCCACATCTACAGGAAGATGAAAGGAGACATGAAGAAAAGTTAACCAGCATCATCTCTTGGTCATTGCAGAGGGCAGTGTCTCCCTGCAGCAGAGCTGTTTACAGGCTCCAGTGATGTCCCTGGGAATTGCTAGCAGTGCCTGCTGTGGGATGGGGCACTGGAAAGGGAATGGGCCTTTTCTCTGCTAAAAAATACAGATCTTCTGAGCCTTTGGGGTCTCCCTCAGCATCTCCTAAGCCCTCCCACAGTGCAGATGCAGTGAGAGGATCAGTGGGAAGAGGTGTGGGCTGTCATGTCCCAATTATACCCTCTGCTAGAGAGGACCCAGTGTGAGACTGCTGGAGTTCTTAATGGAAGTGGAGCCGGAACTCAGTGATCTTTAAAGTCTCTTCCAACCCAAACCATTCTATGATTCTATGATCCTTTTTGCTTTCCTGTCCTGGCAGCATGGATTTGGCAAACCGGTGGATGAAAACTTGGAAGATCCCCTGGTTTTAATGCTCCTTGAGCATGTAAAGAGCAGCTCCTTCATGCAACCTGCTCTCTTGAAGCTGTTGGGGCAGGGCAGCTGAGCTCTTTTCAGGCATGAACACCAGTCTCTTGTTGGGATGTTGCTTCTGCAGCCTGGCCAAGGGAAGCACTTGCACAACTGCCAGCCCATCCCTTGGCCTGGCTGGGCCACAGCTGGGCTGCCATGGGTCCTGCCTAACCAGGGGCGGGCTCACAGCTGTGCCCCAGTTGAGTGGAGAACTTGGGATCATAAACAGCTGAAAACTGGGACATCCCTGAGGGGCTCTTTCCATAGTTATCCCCAGCCACAAATACCGGAGCTGTGACTTCTAAATCCCAGCCTCCAGATTTCTTTCTGGCAGATGTCTGCATCCTTTTCTCACTGCACTCCTTCAGTTTCTCAGTGCCCCTTCCCAAATTCTCATGCACAGCATGGGATGACCTTGTAGATTCAGGGCCTGCAGTGAGCAGGCTTATGTCACCCAAAGCAAGATGCTGCTGAAAGCAAGAGGTATAAAAGGCCAGTCTGGATGGAGCTTGGAGCAACCCAGTCCAGAGTATTGTCCCTGCCCTGGCAGGGGATTGGAATGAGATGAACTTTAAGATTCCTTTTAATCTAAACCATTTTATGAAAGAGAGTCATTCGCATCCTCAGGAAACTGGACCAGTGGATTTCTTGTCTGAAGATGTGCCCATTCATGCCGCTTCCTTACCTCTTTCCAGCAGCAATAAATAGAAAGATAAATCAGTGTTTTCTCAGCAGTGCCCATATCCGGAGCGAGGAAACTGCACCGGTGTCACGGTCCCTTCAGCCTCTGGAGGAGAGTGCACTCCTGCCATCTCATGGACATCTCGTGAACAAGGAGGAATTTCTCAACAGGAAGAGGGGATTATGATGAATTTTTCTTCAAATCTAGTTCAACAGTCGAGAATTTAGCTAAGTATTAAACAGATTAATTTTTTTTTTTGCCTTTTTGCAGGCTTTTGATTGTGCAGTTTTCATAATGAGCTCAATGTGGTTGTTTCCGATTTGGCCTCGTAGCATCTGGCAGGGAGCCTCCGCCTGAATGTGAGTCTTGCTGCATCCAGATTTGATTCCTTTTCCTTGGCACGGCTTTCCCTCCTGCTGATGGAAGCTTTAAAGAAAAAAAAAATACCATGACATCTGAAACACTGCCAAAAAACATCAACATGCTTTCTGGCTGCCATCTATTGTGCAATGCAAACCTCTTAAGATTTAATATTTCTAAAACTGCAGTGCACCTGCTTGCAAGAAAAACTGCCTTGTCACATGATGACATGTTTTGTTAAATCACTTTTAAAAAAAATTATTTATTAGCTTTAGAATCCCTCCCTTTGTCCTTTCTTTTTTCTTCTCCACCCCAAGATTTGTCCATGAAAAAATTCTTCCTCTTAGAATTGTGATTTGTAATTGTTATGATGCATTTCCCACTCTCTGCTTTTGATAGATCCTTGTCTTCTATCTACAGTGAGTGGGTGCATTTGTCCTGAAGACACTAGTGCCTGCTAGATAAAACCCCAGTTTGGCCCAACTGGGAATTTGCCAGTGCCTGCAAGGTCACGTTGGTTCAACCAGCTCTTCACTACCCATCACTGGACTGAAGAGGGCTCTGCTGTCTGGCCAAATGTCTCTGCCTGCCACAAAAGAAAGTTTCTTCTTCTGTTTGATTTTTTTTTTTTTCAGTTGCTTTTCAAGGTAGATTTCAGCTCCACAGGTGCTTTGCTGGGGTGGGAATCTGAAACGAGAGCTGGATGTCGCAGGTGAGCTCAGGTGGGCCAGGGGAGCTCAGAGTGGAGAAGTCTCCTGAGAAACAAGTGGCATCGCTTCATTTTGCTCCCACCTGGTAGATCAAAGTATTTCTCATCGATAACGACTCACAAGTCGCCTTCCAGGTGTCACAGAGATAAGGTGCTTCGCTCAGGTTACACTTACCTGTTGCTGCACAAACAACGTGTGCTCACTTCACAGGGCACAAGGTCTTGAAAGACCTTTTCCTAGTTTTCAGAGGGGTGGCAGCATAGTCTCACTTCCATTTCACTTTGCCAAGTCGTCTTTTGAGTCCCTTCATGCTTCTTCCACCTTCAGAAGGTGTAACACCACTAGAGTTTTCCACAAATAACCAAAAAGCCATGCATTTTTGCTTCACCCAATATCTGGCAACCTGGCCTGTGGGAGAGTGAGGACTGAGCCTAAGTCTGTGATCTCCATCACCTTTATGGTCACTGGTTTTTTCATTGCATTTGGCCTAGTGGAAGGTGTCCCTGCCTGTGGGGGGTTTGGAATGAGATAGTCTTTAAGGTCCCTTCCAACCCAAACCATGCTGGGTTTCTGTACCTGTTGCACAATGACAATGATCAGAAATCCCCCGGGAGACAAACACACCTCATTTCTGTCATGTTTGAGCCCTGTCTGGGATGTTTAAACACTCTGTTGAGACAATGGGGGGAGACTGTCAGAGGAGTGTAAGAGACCTGGGCATCTGGCCTCTGGCTGCTGAGCTCCTGGCTTCCTCTGGCCTCTCATCTCCTTCCTCCCACAACCCACAACCTGCTTTTGATTCTCTCCAACTAGAAAGGCAAAAATGCCTGTTCAGGTTTCCTCCCTTCTCTGGCTCCCTAGCCTTTGAGGGAAGGATCCTGGAGAGCTTTTGAGGTGGATGAATTTAGCTGCTCCATCTGAAGAAAAAAAAAACAAACCCGAAGTTCCCTGTTGCTCGGAGGTGCTCCAGGGGGAGGATCTCAGCAGCTGAACATTGTAACTGTGGGTTCGCTCGGGTGGGTCAGAAATAGCAGTCTCTCTTGCACTCATTTTACAAGTGAGGAGCTGAGAAGGCCAAGGAGACCTACTCAAAGTCCTGCAAGAACCCTGCAGTAAAATTCAGTGCTCCAGTCCCTTCAGAGCAGATGTTAGAACTTCCAGTGTCTGCCCTCTAGCAGCAAACTGAGGCGAGGAGGAGTTCATACTGCTGCTCCAAGCTTTGTGTCTGTGTTACCAGCCCCTGTGATGTTTAATTAGAAGAGGTGGACATAGGCAACCTCTTCCTCTTCTTGGCTGTGCACTGTTGCAGAGGTGGGGGGCAGCTCGCAGTGAGAGACAAATGCACCAGGCTCCCAAACCACCTGGTGCTTTCAGCAGCTGCTGAATGAATGGAGATCTCAGTGAAGTTTGTCCATATTTATCTGTGCTGCATACAGCATATGAGGGTCAGCTAATTACAAGCTGAACCACCACACGCAGAAATGATTCTGGAACAGTTTATTGAAACAACAGGAAAGCGGGTTCAGGACAGCCAGGGATAAATGCACTAACTACAGAATGTTAATATATGCAGTGCCATTTTGTGACCGCCCGTGGGTCAGTCCGCCATTTTGGGGCAGGCTGTAGGTCAATCCGCCATTTTGTGACAGGCCGTGGGTCAATCCGCCATTTTGGGGCAGGCCGTGGGTCAATCCGCCATTTTGGGGCAGGCTGTGGGTCAATCCGCCATTTTGGGGCAGG